CCCTGTGTGAAGACATCTGTAGCAGCCCATGCAATAAAGAATTATTTTTCTTTTAGGAGGTTTACTCTGTTTTATAGCACAGCTAGAGCACCTGAGAGCTGGGATCTGTTACATCCTTCTGTCAGACTTCTAGAGCTCCAAGAGGCTGCTGTCTGAAGGAAGGATTATGTCTAAGATGGGAAGAGTGGGTAGCTTCCTCCTAATTCCCACTGAAAGCAGCTGTAGGCTGAGGCAAAATGGAAGACTATAACCAGAATGGGGTTTGGTTTATTTTATTGTATATAATGATAGGTTTGCTCATCCTGGTTTTTGGTGTTTTCTTTTTACTAGAAGCAATGCAGATCCTCCTATAAAGACCAAACAGGTTTACTGCAGCCTTGATGCAAAACATCATAAATCACTATTCTTATTCCAGGTTCTTTGTGGATAAAGCAGGGACCATTCTGATCAGTAGCCCATACTTAATTTCATTTAAATGTTAAATCTTGGCATTTTTACCATCTCCACTATCTCAGCACAGACCAACTGTTTGTTTCTGAGCTGCCTATACAAACTGAGCTTTTTGCCTCAAACATGCTTTTCTGGGCTGACCAAAAAATGACAGCTACATTCCTGAAATAAACAGAGCAGCACAACCGTGACTCCCAAGTACTGGGTTTTCCGACTTTATTAAAAAGGGCAAAGTTGACAAGCGGTAAATATAAAATATACATTACAAAGGATGGAGAGGTGGTACTGCTCAAAGTATCCCCCCTTACTTGGATCTTCTCACAGTTCAAAGGTACACTGTAGACTAATCTCACGGTCTTGGTGGACGCATGCCAGGTGGAGGGGGCCCTGGGAATAGAGGAAAGAGTTGAAGAGGACAGAAGCAGCAAGGCTAAACCAACAAGACATTTTCCCCCTGCTCAACGTAGCCTTAGGTCCCCTTTTTTTTGGCACCAAAGCGTTTACTAGCATAGCTAGGGAGACGTTGGAACACATCACCCTTCAACCATCTTACAGCTTCTTATATTTTCTAGGCAGGATAACCTCCGCTCACCTCTCATTCCTGGGGGTGGTGGTCTCATTCCTGGTGGGGGCATTCCCATAGGAGCACCTCGGCCAGGGGGCATTCCCATTGGTGGGCCCATGGGTGGTCTCATGCCTGGAGGAGGTCCCATCATTCCTGGAGCCCAAGAAAAAACAAAGCATGTAAATCCAGCTCAATATTCAAGGCGCTAGTTGGACATCAGGATATCCTCCATCATACCAGTTCTTCATCAGACTAGGGTAACTACTTCTTTATCACCAATTCTGCCACAGAACGTGAGCTCCTTGCTACCCCACTGTCCAGAGGGATTCCTACCTGGAGGAGGGGCTCCTCTGCTCATGGGTGGGGGAGGACCCCCACGCCCTGGCGTGTACTGAGTTGGGGCTCCTGCAATGCTGGCAGTGGCTGCTGCAGCAGCAGCTGCGACTGTTCCACGGCCCTGGGGTGTCATCACCTGCAGGCAAAACAAACGGGCTCACAGAGAAACAGCGCAACATCTGCTTTATATTAACAACTAAAAAATAAGCAATGCTGAAATTCCCCATCAGAAAATTACACCAGTCTCCTCTAACATATTAAATAATGCTACAGACTTATAATACAAGTCAAAGTTATGTGCAAAAAGCTGTGCTTCTCAACCCTCTTCTTCATCATACAAGAGAGATCCTAGGGCAATCTAGTACCAAAAAGCCTTGCTAGGCTCAAACTTCATGGTATCACACTGGGACCAAAAAATAAAAGCCATATGGGTCACAGCATCTCACCTGCTGGGATGGTCCTCCCACTCCTCTGACAGGGCCAGCTAATCCTGCTGGAGCCTGGGGCATGGGAGCACCAGCTGGTACTCCCCTCCCTGCTGCTCTCCCAACTCCAGGTCCTCCAGCAGCACCAGCAAGGGGAACCCGTGCAATTCCAGTCTGAAAAGAGACACCCCAAAAAGAAAGATTTATCAAAACTAAAGTCCTCAAGTCCTAGGGATGCCCACAGCCCTCCTTTGTCCAATTAAGCATCCAAGCCCACAAAGGAACTAGAGCTTCTGGCAGTGAAATTTGTTGGACCTTGTCACAACAGCACCTGGAAGACTAGAACAGCACAGCAGTAGCATTCTCCTGCAAGGAAGCAAATTTATCAGATATCCCTTCTCTTTTTGCTTAGTTCTGTGCTCATTCTTACATCTTTTGGAGGTGGTCCTTCAACCGTCATGGATACCAGGTTTTCCCCTCGCAGCAACACAAGACCAAGGACTCGCTTCTCTTCCCGCTCTGGCTGTTTTGAATTTTTAGGTCTGGTGAGAAGAAAACATTGACAAACAGAAGAATCAAAATCACGTTTTTATATGCCTCTAAGTAAGTATATGGAGAACTCTAAACCCTTACAACTGGCATCACAGAGAAGTATATTTTGGTTATTTGGAAAGAGCTGAAGCAAAGCGCCTCTTGAACGACTATACTTTGGGGATCTGCCAAGTACGACTAGACGCATGAGTGTTTAGGCAGAGGATGCCCCGGCCCCGCCCGCCGCTCACTTGATCTTGCGGAACTCATCGCAGTCGCAGAGGATGAGGTTCATGTGCTTGTCGAAGGCCTTGAAGGTGCCGATGAAGACGCGCCCGTCCTGCAGGATGCACCGCATGCGGTAGTCGATGTGCTGCAGCATCTTGCTGCTCTTGCCCACCGTCTGCAGAGACACGGCCGGGTTAACCCGCGGGCCGGGGCTCGCCGCGCACCCCCATCCCCATCCCCATCCCCATGGCCATCCCCGCGGGGCTCACCATGGCTGCGGCTCTCGGTGCTCCCTCCCCGCCGCCGCCGAAGCTCCCGCCGCCCTCCCTCGCTCCTCACACACGGCGGAAGCTCCGACGCGACTTCCTCCCGCCCTGCCCCGAGCGCCGCCCGTTCCGGCGCCGCCGCGGACGCGCTTCCCGGGGCGGGGCGGGGCGGGACGGACGCGGCGGGGCGGGCGCTGCGCGGAGCTCCGCGGCCCCGCTGTCGGGGCGGAGGGAGCCGAGCGCGGCCGCCCCTGAGCCCCAGAGCCCCGCGCCGGCCCGAGCGCCCGCCCTGCATGAGCCCCCGCGGCCCCCGGCGCTCGCAGCCGCGCCCCGGGGGCGGCGCTCCGTGGGCTCGGGCAGCTGACGCCAGCCCTCCCGCGGCGGCCCCGCAGGCGAGGAGG